AGTTTACAATGAAAGACACATTACTATTAGCTCCCTCTTCCTAAAATATTTAAAATTCTTTTTCTTGTTCCAAATACACTTAGTCTATTGATCTTGGTAATGTGTCTTTAATAAGTTTTGAAGAATTTAAATGTTCACCATATCTTTTTGTATTTGAGGGAGGGGTTCACTGTGTAGTTCAGACTGGCCTTGAATTCACTGTGTAGCCGGCTGGCCTTGAACTGACTCACCTTCCAAGTGCTGAGATTACAGGAGTGTGCCACCATGCCTGGTTCTTACCACATCTTTTGACCATCCTTATAGTGTGGATGGGATTGTGGTGTATGTGAAAAGGAGAGTGGGAAAGAAGTTGGATGGAAGTTTACATGTCCTGTTAGATTTCCCGTCACTGGGATACAGATACCCAACATTCACAACTTGTTGTTACTTGCTTGAACCACTGGTAGTACACGCATGACTGTCCATTTGGCAGCCTGTACCACTTGCAGTACAAAACGATCTAACCATTTTTCCTTAGTCTTTTTACTAATAAAATTAGTAAAAATCTATAAAGGGACCAAGTCTGGTTAGTTGCTGGAATTTGAATAATTAGTGCCTGGGCTACAAAGTGAGTTTAAAGCCTGAACTGCATAGTGAAACCCTCTTTCAAGCCAAAGAAAACAAATGAAATCCTCACCCCAAACCAGAAAAAAAATCCAAGCCAAAGTCTGCTAAGATTTAAGCAAACTCTTAGTGTGTCATCTCTAAAAATCAGACAAATTACATAATCCCCAGGTACTATAGCACAAGGAAAAGATTCCCATTCTAAAAAGAAGAAATAGGGAGATGAAAAAGAATTAGACCTAAAAAAGATTGAAACCCAGCAAGGCAAACATTAAGTCCTACAGCTTTATAGAAGGTATCTGGAGCATATTTTAGTGAGAAGTGAGTTCCAGTGGGCTTGTCTAGCCTTACTCCTATGGCCTGTCTGGTTGCAACTCATGTAGTATTTGAGCTGGCTCTGCTCACAGTCCACATCTTTCCTTAGTAGATATTCCATATTCCTGGCAACTTCAACTTCATTCCCACAGCATCATGCTAGTTTCTCAGTGGCTTTTTGCTTGGTTTTCCAAGCCTGCCTTTGAAATCTGGATGGAATCCTCCCTGACCCCATAACTCTTAGCTTCTGCACATTGGTAAAACCAGCCTCATATAGATGGTGCTAAGATCTGCTTCCTATGGGAAAAGTAGTGGGGCCTTTTTGGGCCATGACTGCAGAAGCTTTAGTATTTGGATGGATGAGTTCTGGGGAACCATTTGCCCAAGTGGCTTTCTTGAGAAAAGCCAGTGATTCTCTTTTCAAATGTTTAAACTTTTACATCTTTGAGCCTGTGATGGGTAGGGTCTTGCTAATTCCTGAGGAGCCCTGAAGGCATCATACTTTTTGTTCTGTACAAAGTACTTGGTTTCTTTTTTAATTGACATCTCTTCACTCACACCTCTGCTCTAAACATTAAACATTTTTTCTGGACCATATTTTTTTCTGCTCTGATTTTTATGCTTGAATTCACACTATAAATTTGGCTGAAAACAGCCAGTAATACTCATTACAGCTTGAATGTTGGGCCTTCTTGGAAATTTTCTCTACCAAATGAGTCTGTAGCCCTTGTATCCATTCTCTGGCAGGCTCAGGACATGTGCCAGACATAGACCAGTTTTATTTTTTGTTCGTTTGGTTTTTTTTGTCTCCCCAGAGTGTAATGTGCATGACCTTTAGTTCAATGAAGAAAATAATCCTCATTCTCAACTGGAATGGTTTGTATATAGATGTTCCCGCAAGAGCCTTGTGATCATAAGTTGGGCTTTTTGAAAGGTGATTAAAATATGGAGGCAGTATAGCTAACTTGCTGTTAGGAGATGGTTTTGTAATCTGAAAGGTTGCATTTCCCTTTAAGCTCTGCCTCCTGTCTGCCATGACCTGAATAACTACTATGTCCCTCTGCCATGCAATCCTGCCTTGGAGCCAGCCAACCACAGTAGTTCCTTGGTTCATAAACGCTTGTGAAACAATTTGGTTTACAACAGAAACATCAGGCAAAATTTTGTCTGCATTGAGTGATGAACATTACCATGATTATCTTTTATATCTTTTTCATAATCATGAATAGATTAAACTTGTGAACTGAGGTACCACTGTGTTTTAGGTCTCCAAACTAGATTCCCACTCAACTAGGAGAAAAACTTCCCAAGTGAATCTCTTGTGCGTACCTGCAGGAACACGGAGTTCAGCAGGAAGCCAACAGTTTCCCCACATGGCTCAACCTGCAGAGAACTAATTCTGCAAAAAACGCAAGAGATGTGCTGTGCCTGCCAGCACCCCCCATGCTGAGCACTGCCATATCAGCTAGCCCTAGACCCCCTACTCAGACCTAAAATTTTGTACATTCTTGGCAATATCCCCCTTCCTTACCTAAACTCTATAAAACATGCCTCCTTGCCCTTTATTCAGGACCAATGGCCTTTTTGCTCTTGGCCCAGCCATACCTGTCTGCAATAAAATCCTCATTTCAGTGGTCCTAACTGTTCCTCCGTTTGTCCTAATAGTATGGTCTAAAGATGTGAGCCAGAATAAGTCTCATTTTTAAAGTGGTAGGTGTTAAGTATTGTGTCCCTGTGATGAGGAAAGTAAAGTGCCATCTGAAACCTCATGATCCTCACCTTTACTATTTGCATTCTTAGTATCTTGGTCTTCAGAACTCTGACAAGAACTGCCCATTAATCTTAGTGTACAACATTTTCTGGCTTCTCTAGCCAGCATCTTCAGACCTTCCTAAACTACTGCAAACCAGTTCCCAAGGCTTCTGGTCAAGCCACATGTTCAGGTACAACTGCAACAATGACCTCATTTCTCTCATCCCAATTTTTTTTCTTTTTTGCCTTTTTGAGATGGTCTTGCTATGCAGTTCAGGCTGGCTTTGGCCTCACTTTGTAGCCTCTTGAGACCTCACTGGTCTCAAACTTGGCAATAATCCTCTTGCCAACAGCTTCCCGAGTGCCAGAATTACAGGAGTGTGCCACCATGCCTGGCTTCCAATTTATTTTTTCAGTACCAAGAATTGAACCCAGGACCTTGCACAAGGCAGGAAGGCACTGCACTGTGTGCCACTGAGGTACATCCCTGGCATTCATCACAGTTTTTTTTTTTTTTTTTTTTTTTTTTTTTTTGTCTTTTTCCTTTTTATCGGTACTGGGGATTGAACTCATGACTGCCTGCTTGCAAGGCAGGCGCTTATGCCGCTGAGCTAAATCCCCAGCCCCTCATCACAGTTTTCTATATTAGCTTTCCTATTGTTGGGACAATATCCAATACCTGCAATTAGAAAGAGGAAAGGTTTAATTTGGCTTATGGTTTCGGGGGAGTCAGTTCATGGTTGGCTGGTTCCAAGGCAAAAATATGTCGAAGGAGCCGGGTGTGGTGGCTCATGCCTGTAATCCCAGCACTTGAGAGGCTGAGGCAGGAGGATCATTGCGAGTTTGAGACCAGCCTGGGCTACAAAGTAAGCTCAAGGCCAGCCTGAACTGCATAGTGAGACTCCGTCTCAAAAAAAGACCAAAATATATATATATATATATGTAGAAGGGTTTTGGGGGAACAGATGCTTAGTTCATGGTGGCTAAAAAGCAGAGCAGAGGACCAGTGACAGAGGAAGGGGTGATAGATTAGGGACCAGACATAGAACCTAAGATCATGCTTCTATGGCTCACCCAAACACCTAAAAGTGTGCTTTACTAATCCCCTATGCATATCCCATGGCACTCAAGTTCACACAATTAACCACTACATTGTCTTACTGTTGGTCTGTTCCTACAGTGGAGGTTTTTGTTTTGTTTGCCACTGAGGATTGAAACCAGGGCCTTTGCACCGGTGCTATATCCCCAGCCTCCTACACTGCCCCCTATTTAGAGACAGGGTCTTGTTGTATAGGTTAGGCTGGCCTACCACAAGCCTCCCAAGTGCTGGGATTACAGGTGTGTGCCACTGTACTGTCCCCTAGCCCTTTTTTATTTTTTATTTAGAGACTTACTAACTCCCTGAGTTCCCAGGTTGAGCTGGGACTTACCCTTCTGCCCCAGCTGCCCAGAAGAGTGCATCATAATGCCTGACTCCACAAATCAGTTTTGCTAGGCTCTTGGAGGGAACAGGCAGGAGAGGATCAGTTATATCTGCTGCATCTGCTAAGCATGCTGGAGGAAGTGAAGCTGGAAAGTTGTCTTCTAACCACAGGATGGAATAAATTGGTACCTGTTTGTCACTGCAAATCTCCTTCCCCTTTCAAGGCCAGAAAGGCCTTACAAATACTTCCAGGAAAAACAAGAAGCCTTTACGGAGACTGTTCATGGGGAATCAGTATCACTGGGCTACAATCCTCAGTGCATTTTGCATTTCCTTTTGGAAGCAAACATAACATCAAGAGAAGAAATAGCTGCCAAAATGTGTTTCCTAGTTTACTTTGTGGTTGGCAGGTTTTCTGGGTAAAGTTTAACCCTTTCCTCAAGGGATACAGTGGGCAAGAGGGCTGTTAGGGATAATTTTAAGGTCAAACCTTTTAGGTTAGCAAATGGTGAACAGAAAGCATATTGGGAGCCAGAGGACCTAGGAATAATGAAATGAGCTTCACTTGAGCCTGTGCAGACTTTATTTATTTTTTGAGACAGGGTCTTACTATGTAGTTTAGGCTGCCTTGAACTCACTAAATAGCCAAGGGTGGCTTTGAACTCTTGCCAATTTTTTTGTGTCAGCCTACCAAATGCTAGAATTATAGACATGCCCCACCACACCTAGCTTGTGTGGACTTTTTCTGTAGCGATGCGAATTAAACCTAGTGGTTTGTGTATGCTAAGCACGGGCCTTTCCCCTGAGCTATACCCCTAGCCTGTGTGGCCTTGGGCAATGTGGCTTACCTTCAGACATATGCTTCCATGTGCAGGCTGGGTGTAGGAAAAGCACAAGTACAAGCCAGTTTTCCATGTATTGTATATTTTTAAAAATCAGAAATCGAAGATGAGTTAATTGGCTCAAGGTGTTGAATGTGGAAACACCCTTCTGGGGAAGACATCTCAACAAGGTTCCAGGTCAGCCACCAGGTAGGGATGGGTGTCCCTCAGAGCCTTGAGAAGCAGGTCCTTGCATCTCAGGTCCCAGGATACAGTAAAGCTGTAGAGCTTCCTCATCTTTTGCTGACTGGTAGACTCAGCCCGTACTTGCTGGTACTGCTCATCGCTCAAGACAGTGCCATACAGGGCATCCAGCAGCCCATTGACTTCTGAGACCCGATAGATGAGTGCTTGCCGGTGCTGGTCCACAAAGTGTTGTGCTGGAATGAGAGGAAGAGGTGAGCTGGCACCTAGGGTGGGTGCCAGGCCTGTCTCCACTGAACACTGTTGTCTTCACAGCTTCCCAGGGCACCCTGAAGAGAGGCACTCAGTGGGGAGCAAGTGTCAGTAGGTGGGTTGGTGGGGTTGACCCAGCCTGGTTCTGGCTATGGGACAACAGCCTGTGCAGGGATGAGGTAGTGTGGAGCTGGAGAGGGGTTGGGGAGATGAGACAGGGTGTGGGGGTCTCACCTGGCTGGGCAGCTTTCCGAGGAGGGTCCCTGATTGCAGCTGGGGGAGCTCCAGGGCCTGTAAACAATGAATCATATATCATTCCTCTTTCCTTTTTTGCACCATCTCCAGTCTTTGGGGCTGGGGTATCCGTTTGGTGGTGATGCCAAGTTCAGGCTGAGAGAGGTTCCTTTTCTCAGTCAAGAAGCACACACCCCTACCCCAGTAGGGACATGGAACTGGGGCCTGCACAATGAGCTACATTCCCGTGTTTTTTTTTTTTTTTTTTTCTTTTAATTTAAATGTTTTATTTCGATACGGTCTTGCTAAATGGCATAGTTGCCCAGCTTGGGCTTGAAACTTGTGAGGCGTGACCTACCCCTCTTCCTCCCTCCCCTCTCCCACTGCTGTACGAGAAACAGAAAGAAGAGGAACCATAGGGGCAAGCCTCCGTGTTTGCTGGGTGGGAGAAGCTGGGGGCTGAGGATGAATCTGGGAGTGCTCACCTTCGCGTCTATATTCTTGCAGCCGCTCGGCCAGCTCCTGCATCCCCATGTTGCAGAGCACGGTGGCAGTGAGCTCGGTGCCATACTCCTCCAGATAGTAGCTCACGAGCTTGTCACTGAGATCTATGGCGTCCATGAGAGACAGTGTCCCTCGCGGGATGCGCTCGTAGCCGCCGCGAAGTTGCACTGTGAGCAGCTTCAGCTTGAACTTCTTAAACTCCTCGCAGGTCAGGTTTTCCAGCACCTCTAGGATGGCATCGCGCGCGCCTGGCATGGTGCCGGGGCCTCAGACGGCAGCTGCCACCGCCACTACCGCCTCTCCTTCGGGCAGCCTTGGGGATCCGGAAGTGGGCTGTGGGGCGGGGCCGGGTCGCTCCACTCCTCCGCCCTTCCCCTCTGCCCCAGCTGCTTGCGCCTCGGCAGAGGCTTCCAAGACTGTCCAGAAGCCTGATTCAGCGGCCGTCCGGGGCATCCCCGGGTCTCAGCCTCCCCTGGGCTCAGAGGTGCGCAGGGAGTGACTGAGGAGGGCTGGTGCCTCCCTCTCTAGCACAGTGCGGAAACCCGTGCTTGTCTACATACACCTTTTGCTTGAATGCAGAAGCTTAGAGTATGGAAATTCTAGAGCCCTGAAATCTCCACTTTTCTTTGAACCTTAGGTTCTTCTCAGATCTTAGCATCCTAACAGCTGCAACCCTGCAGTTTTAAATTCCACAGACTGGGGAGAAACGAGATTAAAAAAAGGAGAGATTCTTTTTTTTTTTCCTTGAGTTTTCCTGAAAAAAGGAGAGATTCTAACTGCCTGCTTTACCTCTGAGACCTCAGTTGCGATCCTGCAAGCGCTGTGCCTCTTATAAACAACCTATTCTGCTGCCACCTCCCAGCCTGAGCCTTGAAGACCAGGGAGGAGCCACCCTGCCCCAGCCTCTTGTGGAGCAGGGGCCTCAGTGGGCACAAGGAAGGGGACAGTTGGTCTGAAGTTGCTGCCTTCTGAGACCTTGCCAGATGGTTTCTGGTGAGGCCAGGAGATGAAAACTAAATAGATTAAGACAGGTCCTGAATAGTTTACCTAAACAGACAAGGTCAGGGCTTAAGTGAATTGACATACAGGGGGCCCAAAGAGTTAACCTCTAATCAGGGACTAATGGAATGCAGAGGACAAAAAACAGGTCCTAAACAATCTAGACAAAGCCCTAGAGAAATTAAAGGAGTCACCCAGATTTCCAGACATCAAAGGCCTAGCAATGACTAGTAGCATCCCTACATCATGATCACTTATAAAAACCTGTGGACTTAAACAGATACGGTTTTCTGTCTTTTTGGAAACATCTTCCCCTCTTCTTCCTCCTCCTTCACTCTCATTTTTTAATTTTTTTTTGAGGACAGGGTCTTGCTGTATAGCCCAGGCTGCCCTAGAACTGGACAGAGATGCCTCACAGGCAGCGGAGGTCCAGCGGGGCCACACCAGCAGGACCTCCTCAGCCAATTAACCTGCTTGCTGTCCTCTCCAAACTCCAGCTGCACTGGCCTCTCTATTCCTTAGGTGTGGCCCACACCTCGGCTTCTCCAAGTCTTGGAGTTGCAGATCCCTCGGCTTTGCCATACTGTACATCTTTGCTTGACAAAAGCTTGAATTTTTCTGTCTCAAGTTACATGTACTACCTCTGGAAGTTCTAGAGTCCTTCCCAGACTAATTCATAGCATTTGCTCCATATTTTAGCTCTTACAGCAATGTGTGTGTGTGTCTGTGTTGTTGGGAATTGAGCAATTTTTTGGGGGGCAGTATTAAGAATGGAATTCCATGCTAGGCAAGAGCTTTCCCACTGGTACATCATGTACCCAGCCCTCACAATAGGTAACTAGTGCCTAGCATTTGTTTAGCACCCTCCTGCCATTCATGCCTCAAGCATACCCTCAAGCATCCAAAATAGTGGTTGGCATGTAGTAAGTGCTCAGTAAGTATTTCTGGCTTGAAATAGATGTGAATGGGTCTGTGGCTCACGGGAGGATCCTAGTAACTAAATGGTGTGTCTTCTATACAGCTTTTTTTCTTTTTTCTTTTTTTGAGAAAGGGTCTCCTATGTAGTTTAGGCTAGCCTCAAACTCATTGAAGTGCTCTTGCCAGAATTCTGGGTTTACGGGTATGCACCACCACACTGGGCCTATGCAAGCCAACTTCTAGGAGCTGAAAGACCATGGAGTTAAGGCCAGCTCTTACTTTAAATCCTGGCTTTGTTTCCTAAGTGTGTGTTTTAGCACAGTTAGTGCAATTATAACAGGATGCAATGGAGGAAAGTACTATACTTGGCTCCTAACTATGGGTGCCGGGAAGTGCAGGGTCAAGGGGCTGCATCTCACAAGGGTCCCTGGTCCCTGGCAAGAATGCATATACCAGAGTCTGCTGAACTCTCTTATAACAAATCCATACAGTGAACTGCTTCGGTGATAATGGCATTAATCTGTTCATGGCCCCTTGAGCTAATCACCTTTCTGTTTTTCTTGTTTTTTTCTTACTTAGGATCTCATGCTTTACCACTGCCTAGTCGCCCCTGCTGCTGCTACTGCTGCTTCTCCTTCCTCCTCTATCATTCCTCCTCCATCCTCATCTCCTTTTGTTTCCCCTTCCCCTGTCCCTTCTTATTTTCTATATTGAGCTATATACGCAGCCTCCCTCACCTCCTTTCTTATTTTTGAAACAAGATCTCAGTTGTCTGCTATAGACTTGAAGTCTCAGTCCTCCTGCTTCAGCCTCTCAGAGTGGTGGGATCACAAGTGTGTGATACCACATACCCTGCTGGACTAACTACTTTTTAAATCTTCCACCCCCCGCCCTTTTTTGAGACAAGGTCTTGCTATGGACAGTGGTGTCTCAGTTTATGAACTCAGTGCTCTCCACAATTTTGACCACAAACTGAACTGGATATGAACTGAATCAAATTTCTCTGAAAGGTCAACATTGAACCTCACAATTGAATTTGATTGGGTTCTCATCCAACTCAGTTTGTAACCAGAATTGTGAGAAGAATCAAGTTTGTGAACTGAGATACCACTGTAGTCCAGGCTGGTCTTGAACTTGTAACAATTCTCTTGCCTCAGCGTCTAGAGTGCAGATTCCATTTCTTTTTTTTTTTTTGGTACCAGGGATTGAACTCACGACCTCGAGCTTGCCAGGCAGGCGCTTATGCCGCTGAGCTAAATCCTCAGCCCCAGATTCCACCTCTTAACGTGCTGAATTGATTGAATTTCTAACATAAATGGATTTTGAGAATTCTTCATTTTTGTTCTCTCACTTGGATTGAAGCAATCATCATTTTTTCCCCTAACCATCTGTCTCTAACACATATATTTATTCTTTTTTTGGTTTTTTTAGTTAGGTCTCGTTATATAGTTCAGGTGTGCCCTGAACTCACTATATAGGACAGACTGGTCTTGAACTCACAGCAATCCTACATCAGGCCTCAGAGCGTTGGTATTACTGGTGTGTGCTATCAAGTCCAGGCCTAGTCCATTCAAAAATCTATTTTGAGAAAGTATCTCACTAAGCACTAAATTCCCCAGGTTGGCCTTGAGTTCATGATCATCCTGCCTTAGCCTCCTGAATGGCTGGCTTACAGATATGCACCACCACACTGACTCACAATTACTTGTTTATTGAGGATTCATCCCACTGAAATATGAGCCTGAGATTCAAGGATCTTGTCTGTCTTGTTCGTAGTGGCATCCCTAGCACCTACGTAGTATGTGGTACATAGTAGGTGTTCAGTAAAGACTTGCTGAGTGAAGGAACAAACAAGGCTGTGATATCTGTGGCATGCAATAATAGTTCAGAGCTTCAAGCAGGATAGCATAGATGTCCCAGCCTGTGGTTAAGTCCACGGAGACCCTAGAGGCGGTGTGGGGGTGAAAAGGAAACGAGACGCAAGGAACCTCCGGAGACAAGATAGGAGTCTGATCAAGTCTCGTTTATTTAAAGAAAAAGTATCAAATATATAGGGTATTGAGGAGGAGGGAGTTGGGTTCTGAGACGTCAGCAGGTAACTTAGCAACAGTGGCAAGACTGAGGGTCATAGGTTAATTCAGATTTTCAAATTTCCCGCTCATAAGGCAGGCTGATTAGCATAATTCCTGAATAGGCCAGGCCAAACAAGCTAGGCAGGGTAGGGGGCAGCCAGTTACAGGGCTTCCCACACACAGACCTGCTTCCCATCCTTGTGGGGTAAACTCTGTGGCAACGTCTTCACCATGAATTGCAATGTGGCACCACAACCAGTGTTCTCTGGCTTGTGGCAGTTTATTATTATGGGTCCTCACTGGTCTTTGTTTTTTCAGAACTTCCACCCATTTTGTGCACTGTGGCCAGAAAAACATAGGTTTCTAACCCGTGCACATGACCCTGCCTCTGCCCGGCTGTGACTCCCCAGGGGCCTCAGAATCCAGTCTGAGCCCATTGGCTGGCCTCAGAGGTTGGCTGCTTTCCTGGATGCCCCTGCCGCCTCGCTGCCTCTGCACCTCAGGCGGCACCTACTCTCCTCTACACGTGGCCTCTTTCCCTGCTACTTGGTCAGGTCTCACCTTTTTTTTTCCTTAAGTGTTTTCCTTTTTTAAATTTTTTTGAGATAGGATCTCACTATGCAGTTCAGGCTGGTCTTAAACTCAGTATGTTCCCCAGGTTGGCCTCGAATTTGAAGCAGTTCTCCTGATTTAGGTCTTTTTTTTTTTTTTTAAAAACAAAATTTTAATTAAAACTACAGACAAATAGATCAGATATTTATGTGTGATTTATAAAAATCAAATTAAAACATTTTAGGACATGTGTGTTTGAGGGTGTTTTCATAAAAATCTATGAACATATATTGACAGCAACAATTTTGTATTATTTTTACATTCTCCTCTACATAAGTAATTTTCAAAGTATTTTCAAAATAGCCACTTACATATGCATTATTACACTGAACTATGATTATTTTCAAACATTTAACAATAACCATGAATACTGAGTGCTTTCCCACTGTCATGGTTTATGTCTGTGTCCCCCAGGCTTCATGAGTTTGAATTGTGCATTTGTTATTCATTCATTGTCTAGTGCTTGGGTTAATTGTGTCAGTGCTCCACCCACATAGGGGTGGAGCCAGGATGTGATGTAATGGCAGGAAGAAGGTATGTCTTTCTCTTTGCTGGTTCAAGCTTGCTGTTTGCAGCCGCCATGAACCAGTTATGCCCGCCTGTCTTGGAGCCAACTGAGTGTGGACTGAAACCTCCAAAAACTGTAAGAAATAAACCTTTCCTTTCTCAACTTGGGCATCAGGTATTTTGTCTCAGCAACGAGCATAAAGTAACTAAGACACCCACATTGCATACATAGGCT